GCTGGTAGCAGGCTGGAGGGGACCAGGTGCTCTGCAAGACCCAAGACCAGATGCAGAGAGACAGGCCGCACTCATGAGGAGGACATGGGTAGAGCTCGGGCAGCTCCAGACGAACCTGAAGTGTGTTCGCGCTTCCCTAGGCTCAAACTTCTTTCTGTTCACCTGCACTGGGTCACAGGCTAAGTTGACAAATCTCCAGTTTGAGCGCGGGTTACACTGCAGCCACATGTGCAGTGCCTGTCTCTCTGCTCCCCCAGCACTCACTGCCTCATGTCCACAGCCCTTACTCTTGAAGGGCAAAGCCTCCAGCTGCGCCAGGGCCTGCAGTTCCTTTGCCCAGGTATTTCTCAGCCTCTGGGCCTTCGGCAGGGCCTTTACTTCACGTCCATTAGTCAGCTGAAAGTGCACAGAGGAGGAGGGTCAGCATTTTTATTTGTCCATCTCCTTGTGGGAATCTTGTTAATTTCGCAACTGGAAATCACCTTTCCCATGGATCCTTCATGTGTATTTATTTTTGACAATGCAGGGGAAGCAATCTTGGGCTTCACGACATGCAGAACAAGCAAGGCTGGACTCTATTTCTGAGCCACATCCTGGGCCCATTGGAACATAATCATTTCATTTAAAGACTGCAGGGCTTCTAGTCCCTGGAAAAGGCCAATATCAAACACTGCATCAAATTCCAACAGAAAAACCTTCTAGGAAACTTTCACTTGAAAGATGAATGTTAGAAAATACTAAAGTTTCATATGCAATTTCTCAACCTTGCCTGGTGATGAGAGGGGCTAGAGGGCGTTTGTGCTAAATGAAGGTCAGATGGTGATTAGACCCCACATTATTGTCTTTTACTTCATCCATCAAAACAAAGGCAAAGTATAAGCAGTCAACTTGTTAGCTTATCAACTTCTACCAATCTTCATGGCTAGTAGATGAGGTCCACAGATTCCTCAGCTGGAACCCAGTCCCAGCCTGAGTACAGAGTCAACCGTGTCTTCCCACATTTGTTCATGTTGCCCAGCACACTCAATGTGTTTGGCTGGGCTGGACACCACAGTGATAATGGGATTTCTCTTGTCTCTGATTGTCACCTGAAAACAGAACTCCTGGTCAAAATCAGAGAAGAACCCAAACGTTCCTTTTTCTTTGTCCTACAAATCCTCATCCCTTGTTCACTTCAGCTGTTTCTCCAGCAGGTGATCAGTCAAAAGCATAAAGCCCAGCTTTGGTTCTGGGGTTCATGTAGAAATGGTTGCTCATTGATTCTATGAAAGAAAGCCCTCGTTCTTTCATGGTTGAACTCTTCAGTGGCTCTCAACTGCTTTAGACTGAGTGGCAGGATGAACAGGCATTTGAGCTAGTATAATGGTGAACAAGAAGGCAGAAGTCACGTGAGATCTGAGGACAACTCATTATTACTGAACAGAGCAAAGATCAAAGAATGTGGTACAAGCTAAACAAGATGAACTCAGGAAGCTGAATCCAGGTTGGCATATAAGGCACTTACAATAGGTCAAATTTAAGCCAGTTTCTGGGGAAAGTTCTGTGATTTGGCAGGGTTGACCTGGGGCAGTATTTTCAGAAGGTAGAAGGGAGAGTTTGGGAGGGACATGGATTGTGTTGGAGACCATTTTATTGGGCACATTGTAACCAAATGTGGTTACAATGTCTGGAGCAGAGCCAATGCTGGTCTCTGTCAGTGTCAGTGAACTTTTCTAACCCTTCTCTGGAGTCTGCTCCCAGCTTCTCAAATTAAATTGGTTGTGGTCTAGCTTCTTGACCCCGTGGAAAGGAAACCCTGGATTTGCAGTGTGCAGTGCGGATGAAGGAAAGGCGATCAGGCCCTGACTCCTTGTCAGAATTGTTTTCTTGGGAGTCTGGTCTTGCCCCCCCCAACAGTGTCCTTGAGGGGCATGGGGAATTGCTGCGAGGAGTGTGATGAGCTTGAGATGTCCAAGGGGGCTGAGGAGGGAGACTTTAGCCATCTGTCTTGGAGGGCCAAATCCAGACTCCTTGCACTTGTATGCAAGCCCAGCAGCTTCGTTTTTTCACTGAGTAGGTCTTGAAGGGTGTTGAGGTCAAGTTATGAAGACTCACCTGAGCCTTTTGGTTCATAGCACCAAAAAATTCCCAGGACTATTTTACCTATCCTATCCTCACGCTGATGAACTCTTCGTATATGGAGAGTTCATCAGCGTGAGGATAGGATAGGTAAAAAGCACCAAATAAAGGTGTTGGGAGGATCCTCCCAGGATGGGAGAAGCATGCTGAAAGTAGACTATAGACAAACATGAATATCACTCAACGCCTCTTTTGCAAACCACAACACCCAAAAGGAGAGAGAGAACAGAGGGGAATGCCCTGCCACAGAGGCAGGGTGGGATGGGGGGATGGGGAGTGGGAGGGATACTGGGACCCGTGGTGGTGGGAAATGGGCACTGATGGAGGGATGGGTGTTTGATCATTGTATAACTGAAACCCAAGCGCAAAAATTTGTAAGTCTATAACTGTACCTCATGGTGTTTCACTAATAAAAATTAAAAAATAAAAAAATTTTAAAGTATATATATTTATATACATAAATATATAATAGATATAATATATATAATCAATGGCTCTATCTACCTACCTATTTGTACTTTAGAACTGTAGTTCTCTATGGCCGTCTCAAAGTCACCTATTATGTACATAAATGACAAGGTCAGACTGTGACTTAAAAGAATCTAAAGGGAAGGGAATCTGAATAAATTCTCCTAGGGGAAACAAAAATTGGTTTGGCTAACAAAATATGGAGGACTTGAGATCAGACATGTTTTTGGTCTGTTTCATTTTCCGTGCTTTTAGTTCCTAACTATACTAGTCTACAGAGGAATGAGAATCACCTTTCCTACTTGCGCCTTATTGTCCTCATCTGTGAGAACAACTGGGAAGGTTCTATGTGGTAAACAATAACTATGTCACTGGTTTGGACTTTCTGCTCAATTCTCGCTACTCTTACGTGTGCAACCTTGGGCAGGTTAGGCTTGCTAACCATTACATTTTCTCATCTCGAGGAGAGGAATAACAGTCTCTACCTCCTAGAGCCATTTAATACCTTCTAGAGTATTAAAGGAGGCTGAGTTAATCCCCAGCATGCAGAACATACTTAACCAATGGTCACTAATGATCTGTCTGGCAGAGGCTGTGTGGGTAGAGAAGGGAACTGGATTCCCTACATTTTGTCATGTAGAGTGTCCTGTGAATCAGGAAAATGTAATGGTTTTGCTGTAGGACTCTAGGCAACTTTTCTTTTTGAGCCTGTTTCCTCACTTATTCAGTAAGATAAAAGCTAGCAACTCTGAATACCCAGGGACTATTTCTCACAGCAGGCTTATGTGGGATGTCCCATTATTTCTCCATGTATGCACAGGGTAGTGACAGTGTTTACTTCCCCAAGGCACACAAATCAGGACTCAAAATTTCGGCAGTCTGACAGAAAGTCCAGGTGCTTGGGAGATGAGAAATGTGACCATCCATATTTAGGTTCATGTATTATTTCCCAGCATATTTGTGTCTCAAGGGTCTTTGCAATAATAGTAAAGCTTTTTTGATTTTACAAATAGTAGAATCTAAGGTCTAAACAATATAAAGAACTTAGTCAGGGTCACACAAATTAGTCGCTAGGACCAAGAATCCAGTGCTCAGGACTCTTCTGGACCAGGGAGTCAAAGGTCCAAGCCCCCAAACTACCCAGTTGTTGTAATGTCCCATGGGAAATCACAGTTCTACTTTCCTTATTCTGGAAATTTAGAGGACTTAGCAGGCATTTTTTTTCACCAGGACTTCGTCAGTTCAGCTTAGAGCTGAGAGGGGGCACCAGGGAGTCAGCTGCACTTTTGCTCATAATTAGAAGACAGGGACAGTGCTGAAATTCTCCTGTGTGTTTCTGTGGCTGCTCTTTGTAGATCAGCCAATGAAACACCTGGAGACTGCTTTCCAGTCTCTGGTTCTGTGCTGGGGAAAAAGTGTGCAGTACTGGTGAAGGAAAACACTTTAACATGTTGATACTAATGTGTACCACCGGTGGCTCACTCTTGAACATAGTTTAATTAGCACAAGTTGTAGTACTGATGTCAACATGGTAATCCTCTTTCAGTTCCTTGGAGAATTTGGGTGTCTGTAATTTCCTGTGTGTACTAGGAATTTCTCTGGGTTCTTGAGAGCCTTTCTCCAAGGGATCCATGAGGTCAAACCATTTTATCAGTAATATGTTGTGGAACATTTTCGGTTTCATCTCTCTGGAGTTTTCGAAAGCTACATGGCACATAATGTCGCAACAGACTGTGTTGATGAGAACCCAGTTGCCTGCAATTTAGCCAGAGGAGAGATTTGCAGAACTGCAAAATGAAATGACTCATTCATGGAAAAACTTTTCATAGAAATATCATTTACGTTCATCTATTTTCTATAACAAGTTCACTACACTTGAATTCCATGTTTGGAGATGAATGAAAGTTCCCCAGAACTGCTCTGAATAGACCTATCAGCTATGAATGACCTTCACCACAAGATCATTCTGTCGAACAGTCAGTCTCCAGGGAGCCACAATGCCCGAGGAAGGAAGCTCTCTTCTTCGAAGCAAGGACTCTTTTCTTGGCCACAGGGTACTTGATGGCTCTTCTCCCATGAGTCCTTTTGGTTTCAACATACTATGACATTTCTAGTGTCTTCTCTTTTAGGCCTGATGCTTCCCAGGTAGGGATCCCTTTTCTCCTTTGATAGTGTCCATATTTCCTGAATGTCAGTGAAATAGGAGCTGCATTTTCCCAACAGTATTACAGGAATATTTAGAGGAGTAGCTAGAAAAACACTGAATATAGGCTGCCCGCCTGCCCTCCCTCCCTCCCTCCCTCCCTACCTCTCTCTCTCCCTCCCTCCCTCCCTCCTTCCTTCCTTCCTTCCTTCCTTCCTTCCTTCCTTCCTTTCTTCCTTCCTCTTTTACCATCTTCTTTTTGCTTTAGCAGGAGGTAAAAAACAGGGCTTCATATGTATGAAGCATGAGTTCTACCACTAAGCCATATCTCTGGATCATCCTCACACCTCTTTCATTTTACTCAAATTTCTTTGATATAGCACTGGGTTACAATACTGTAAAATTTTAGAGAACAGCCTCACAATTCTATGTGTGTATGTATAAGTCTCACTGTACCCTACCACCAAAAGTCCAGTGCCAGCACACTATCAAAATGACCCCCCACCCCCATTCCTCCTTTTCTTTCCCTCTGAGAACCACAAAACTGGAACGTTAAGAAGCCTACAGTATCTAGAAACTTAAGCATGAATGTGGACACAATACAAAAGACAAGACAAAATTTGGAATAAGACACTTTTCAAAAGCATTCTGAGGTTTTATTAATTTATATATATATTTAAAAACCTATTTCAACTCTTTGCAATCATCTCAAAACACTAATGTAATTATGTCACATTCATAGTTAGAATTCATAATTATACCCTATTTAAAATACATAGATTCCCCCATTATAAAAATAACATATACTGGGGCTGGAACAATAGCACAGCAGGTAGGGCATTTGTCTTGCATGCGGCTAACCTGGGTTTGATTCTCAGCATTCCATATGGTCCTCTGAGCACCGCTAGGAGTAATTCCTGAGAGCATAAGCCAGGAGTAACCCTTGTGCATCACTGGGTGTGACCCAAAAAGCAAACAAACAAAAATATACCATTGTAGAAAAATTGAGATCTAGGAAAAACATAAAAAAATAAAAACCATAGTTCCATTATCTAGAAATAACTACCATTGATGTATCTCTTCTATTATTTAAGGAAAAAAGACCTCTTCTGTTTTTTATGTGCTTGTTATCACACAAAATATGAGTTTGTGCTGCTGTTTATCACTATATTGCATTAAGAACAGTTCTCCAGGTATTACAAATTCCTTAAACATGGGAGTTAATGATGCTTCTGGTTAGGCCTCATCATTGAGATTTGAGTATCCACAGCAGGTGGGGTGCCACGCTGTCTGGACTGGAAAATAGAGGAGGTGCAAGAGATCCAAGTCCCTATGCAAATCAGTTAGGGACTAGTTCCTTCTGTAGGAGAGTTCACCTCTGAGCCAGCTCCTTCTAAATGTGCTGGCGGGTTTCTTCATCAGGCCAGGTAAGTGTCAAAAGGCTCTGATCTGAAGGTCAGCAAAGGGAAAAAGCACTTATATACTGAGAACATCAAGTCAGTAGAAAAAGTAGAAAAGTAGAAAAAGTGGCTCTGCTTGATCTGTGGCTAGTCATACTTTCCCGGGAGCATGAGAAACAAACTGCTCTGAGTGGCTTTGTGCTTTGAACTCTGTGACTGAGTAAAAGCACCAAAAATCAAAACCAAGGGGCTGGAGCATGCAGCTGACCTGGGTTCAATTCCTAGCATTCCATATGGTTGCCCAAGCACCGCTAGGAGTAATTCCTGAGTGTAGAGCCAGGAGTAACCCCTGAGCATTGCCAGGTATGACCCAAAAAGCAAAATAAAATAAAATAAAATAAAATAAAAACCAAATGGAAAAAAAGAAAAACCACCCTGGATAGTTGGTATAGATGGCTCTTTTAAATCACCTGGGGCTATCACATCACCAGAAATCCCAGCCTTTTCTGGGTGTTCATACTGGTATGAAACTGGCAAAAAGGAGAAAGGGAAAAAAATGGTCAGGGGTAGAGGATGCCCCAAGAAATCATACAGGAACAGGATTTTTCAAGTTCAAAGTGCTCCTAGAACTTTCTTCCTTTGGAGAGTGCTCATTACATCATGGGGTAAGCGATGACAAAATAATTAAGTTGTGCATCGATCAGCTTTCTGTACTTCCTGTATATTTCCCGCAGCGTCCTGTCTTCTTCATTTGTCTCATATCTGTTTGTATAAATTCTCACCTGTCAGTGAATACACACATGCGTACAGTGATGCCATCATTCAGGCACCAAAACAACCGTAATGCGCGTATATAATTATTGATAGAATGAGGAATTGCTCATATGGGACCACTAAGGATTCCCTCCCATGAAATTGTTAATTTCCAATGGACAGATTTGGGTAGAATGTGTGGCCCCTCCCACCTCACTCCCAAATTTATCTCAGAATAATTCCCGAGCTACAAAACAGTAGCCAGATCCCAGGCTCCAGGGAGGCCTGATCACCCCAGTGTTTTCCCTCGGACCCAGCCCAGGGGACCCTGACCTTCAGTGTCCTAAGGGCACACTGCCTTTCCTCCTGACTTTTCAGGACCCGCTCCACAAATTTCACATCAAGGAAAGCCCAGATTTTGAAGTAAAACAATTTCCTGCAGGATAAGATGAGAAGGTGCAGCTCCTCGTCCAGGGACTCGTGGTTGTTGTTGAACTCAAAAGTCAACTTCTGGAAAAGCACCAAAGGGGAAGAAATCTGTGGGTGGGGGCTGGCCAGATCGTTCCATAACATTTCCATACCTGGGGGCTGGAGAGATCATACAGTGACTCAGGAACTTGCCTTGCAAAGTGGTCAACCTGGGTTCAGTCTTTGGCACCTCATATGGTCCCCTGACCTGCCACAGTGATCCGAACATAAAGCCAGGAATAATCCCTGAGCCAGATGTGGTCCCAAAACCAAAACCAAAACCAAAAAAAAACACACTTATTCCTGTGACCTGGCTTCGGGGTCTCTTGGCAAGGTGGATCCAGTGCTTTTGATAAGGGATGCTAGCCATGTGGGTGGCAGAGGGAGATTGGAGGATTAGATGATCTCATGCAAGTTTGCAAAATTTAAGAATATGGAGGCAATGTTCTTGGTGTTCAGAGACTGGTGCAGGTACATCCCTGTGGGGACTGAGCAGATAAAAGGAACACCCAGACTCGAATTCCTCACAGCACAAATAAAGGACAATAACGATATCTGCAGTCTGCTGCACTCTGGCTGGATTCCAGTGAGCTTTAGGCACTTCATACTTGCCCAGGGTTAGGGGCGGTATTAATTCTAGTCCTTACACACTTCTGTGAGGTTCTTGGAAGAGACAAAAGGATCCTGGCCTGACAGATAGAGAAGCCACCAATTTGGAGAAGAGAACCTCAGTGACAGGTCAAATTTGGCTTTGGTTTGGGCTTGGGTCTCCAGTCCCCAGGCCCTGCAGGAGTCAGACACCCCCATGATAGAGAACCATGGAACCACTCTATCTCCCACATGCTGGTGGGACTGGAAGGAAAGGCGGGAAGAGAATTCCCGTCTGCTCTCACTTGTTGAAGTGCCTGCTTGTTCTGAGCTGGGGACAGAGGGACTGCTTTTCTTGGTTGATAGGCAACCAGAAAATTCCTTTTGTTCTTTATATAGGATGTGAGCAGTGGCCACTGTTACCTACTATGGTTTCAGGGGACCAAGGGAGACTTCGCTGGGGAGCATTTCCCAGAACGTCAGTGGGAGACAGGGTATGTGTGAGCCCAAGAGCAGTGGTGGCAGTGGTTTTCCTTCTGGGAAAGCCTGTCACCTGAGTGGCAGCTGTTTGTCAAATGCCTCTTGACTTGGGTCATCCCTACCTGCAGAGTGTGCCGGAAGGTGGGCAGGAGGTCTGTCAGTGTGGGTCTCATCGACCAGTCTGGGTCACTGAAATAGCAGCTTCTCAGACTGATGCTCCGGACTGGGATCTCCTGCAAGAGGATCCGGGTCAAGCGCTCGTACTTCATGACCCGCTCAAAGAAGAAGTTCACCCTTAGGTTGGTGGCGTGCTTCGCTAGCTTGGCCCAGGACATGCCCCAGATGACCTGCCCATGAGGGTCATGGATGTGGCATTTGATGTTTATGGTCCAAAGGGTCCTGGCATTGTTCTCGCACAAATTCTCAAGGAGCTCGTCGGAGATGCAGTTGTAGTTGATGGTCAGGGAGACCAGGCTGCGGAACATGGCCATGGTCTTGTTGAACTGGGGGCTGCTGTAGACGGCGAGGTGATGGCTGAAAAAATCCTCAATGTTGAGCTCTGAAGCTATGTTCTCATTCCTCATATAGCTCAGGGAGTTAAGAACACTGCAGCCTTGCTCCACAGTCAACCGGGCCCCTTTCAGGTTGAGGTAATCCAGGTGCTTCCCCATTTTCTTTAAGAAGAAGCTCAAGCTCTTGATGAAAGAGCTCCTGATGCTGTTTCTCCAGACCAGGCGGTCCAGCTCCAGGTGCTGGATGGACAGAGACTTCAGACGGTTGTTGCTTTTGCCCAGGCATGAGAGAAGTCCCCGCATAGTGACCTGGAACTTCTTGGTTAACACAGCATTGTAAGGATTCAGAAATTTGATTTCGAGGTGCTCTAGGTAACGACCAAATTTCTTAACATACCAAAGAGCAGACTCAAACTCGGATGCTTGTACCCTGAAAGGTCTCCCACTGAAAGTGATGGTCCTGTAGCGCCAGAGGTCAGCTGAGTACATCATCTGATTCCATTTTCTACACACCAGGGCTGCCCTGGACCTGTCTTTGTCTCCTAACCACCAGAAAACACGACGCAGGCATACATCGGGCAGAGTGGCCCAGCAGCTCTGCTCTTGGGGATTTTCTTCGTCCATCAGGGACCTGGGATATCCAGTGGAACTGTGAGATAGGCAGGGCTTCCAAAAATGAGGAAGGAAGAGTGATCACTTGTTTTCTGTTAAAAGAAAGAGTCATTAACTGTCAAATGGAAATTAAACCCAACTGAGTGACCTTGCACAGTGGCCCCATTAAAGGGGCTGATCAGGTGGTGCAACAATAATTTTGCGCCGTATCATCCACACCTGGAAGAATCCTCATTCCACTGGGGTCTATCCAGGACACAGACAAGTCTTAAGTGCCACGAGGCAGGAGACACGGAGAAGGGTGCAGGCTTTTCCAATTATAGGGTGTTAGGATAACATTTGGTTTGTTGTTTCTCCTGGCTTCGGGGAGCTTAGGTTTATTGGGTTACACATTTACAGTGCTCCGAAGCACTCCCCTTTCCTCAGTATTCATCTTTAACTTCTCTGTGCTCTGTTTCTCTACCTGTTAATCACTCATTTCCTCTGAGCAGCACCTATGACTTGTAAAGTCAAATTCCTCAGAAATCTCTGATTTTGTATTTGTAAGAGAAATATTGCTTTTCTCCTTCCCTTATATCCTTTTGCATAGCTTACTTCAGAGCAATGTTCATTTTGTATAGACACAGGAGGACAATACTATGTTAATACTATGCTTTTGTAACTTGGGAGTTAATTGGCTCTGAATAATATTCACGCCTGGGCATCTGTTTTCTCGACTTAAGTCTCAGTTGCCCTTATTTCCTAGCAGCCCAAAAGCAT